TGTACAGAGGAGCTTACACTCTAATGTCCCCTCCCCCACAGTCACATCAGTCTCTGTACAGAGGAGCTTACACTCTAATGTCCCCTCCCTCCTCAGTCGCACAATATTATTATACATTTATATAGCTCTGAGATACCGCAGTGCTGTACAGAGGTGTGTGTGTGTGCGTGCCCCGCCTCTAGTAAAGCTGCTTTGTACCATTGAGCTTGCACTCTACCTGCTCCCTATCACACACACAGTAGGCCCAGTTTTGGAAGGAGCCGGTCCATGGAAGGTGTGTTTTGGGGTTTATGGAAGGAAACGTGATGTAGATAACACGCTGGAGGGGATTGAACCCTGCACCTCGGTGTTACAAGACTACAGTACCAGCCATGAGGCCGCCATAACACCACGTGTGTGTGAGTTGGTTTGCCGATCCTGGATGAGCCCGGTATGGGTGCCGCGTGATGTGATGAACGGTCAGATTTGAGCGCGGTCTCGTCAGAAGTATTTATGTACATTATTCTCTGTGTTGCGTATTTCTATTCCCGTCATTTCTCTTCTCGCCGGCCCCCGTGCCCCTCTAATTAATTTCGTGGCCCCTTGTCGCCGCGGATCACGGGCGCACATCGCGCTCTCCAGCAATTAAGCGCCGGCCACTTCCTTCACCTCGCTGCGTCGCGTTGGCACCTGACACCGGCGCAGCGAGCGTTTTAAATAGGCCGGTAGCAGCTGTTTTTTGCCGCGGCCATTTACGGCTCGTCTTAATTATTCACACAGAGTCAGTCCGCGGCGCTTTGTGAGGATCAAAGGGCCAGAAAGTGGTCCTGAATAGGTTCCCGAAACTCGAAGCCGCTCTCCTTTTCTCCGCGGGCCTTGTGATGCCGCAGAAATTTAGGCTGCGTCGTTACCTGTGATCTTCCCCCCTATACAATTCAATGGTAACAAGTGTCTGTTAAGTGATCCTATTTTTACTACTTATTTTTAATGAGTACCTGTAATTCATTTTCCCCTCGTTCTGCGCGGCAGGCTCCCGCTGCTTTCTGCTCTGCCTGGGTTACTCCCTGCTCCCGTCTTTTGTGGGCTTTCGGCCGCACTTCTGTGTTCAGTCTAACTCCTCCGCTCTTTGTTATATCACCTACTAAATGAATTCCCACTGCTCGGGGGCGCCGCCGGTACGCGCGAGAAAAAGCGCTTGGCCCTGGAAGGATTATAAAAAGTCCTGTAAATGGGGGAAGCGGCATCAAAGGGGGCATTGCACATCAGACATCCTTCCAGCGAAATCTTTTCATCTTCATCCCTCGGCAGGAAGTAGTTTTGTCAAACCAGAAAGGTGAACTTTATCCCCCCCCCCTCCC